GGTTTCAGAATGGTAGCCGTGTTAGTCTATATCAGCAAAAACAAACAGGAGTCCTTGTGGCACCTTAGAGACTAGCAAATTTATTTGGGCATAAGCTTTCGTGGGCTAGAACCCACTTCATCAGATGCATGGAGTGGAAAATACAGGAGCAGGTATGAATACATGAAAAGATGTGAGTTGCAACAGCCCCCCAACCTGAAGCAAATACTCACCAGCAACTACACACCACACAACAAAAACTCCAATCCAGGAACCAAACCCTGCAACAAATCCCGGTGCCAACTCTGTCCACATATCTATTCAAGAGACACCATCATAGGACCTAACCACATCAGCCACACCATCAGGGGCTCGTTCACCTGCACATCTACCAATGTGGTGTATGCCATCATGTGCCAGCAACACCCCTCTGCCATGTACATTGGCCAAACCAGACAGTCTCTACGCAAAAGAATAAATGGACACATCTGACATTAGGAATCATAACATTCAAAAACCAGTAGGAGAACACTTCAATCTCCCTGGTCACTCAATAACAGACCTAAAAGTGGCAATTCTTCAACAAAAAAACCCTTCAAAAACAGACTCCAACGTGAAACTACACAACTGGAATTAATTTGCAAATGGGATACCATCAGATTAGTTTGAATAAAGACTGGGAGTGGTTGGGTCATTACAAAACCTAAACCTAATTTCCCCAATACTGATTTCCCCCTACTGTTACTCACACCTTCTTGTCAACTGTCTGAAATGGGCCACTCTCATTACCACTTCAAAAGTTATTTTCCCTCCCTTGGTATCCTGCTGTCAATTGAATTGTCTCGTTAGACTGACCTCACACTTGGTAAGGCAACTCACATCTTTTCATGTATTTATACCTGCTCCTGTATTTTCCACTCCATGCATCTGATGAAGTGGGTTCTAGCCCACGAAAGCTTATGCCCAAAGAAATTTGTTAGTCTCTAAGGTGCCACAAGGACTCCTTGTTGTTTTTGATAAATTTAATAACTTTTTCCTGGACACCTGATCTTTGTGTGACTAGGAGATCTAGCAATACAACCAACTTTGTCTCTGTACCTTATCCAAATAGGTATCCAGATTGACAAAGATCATGGAGTTCGAAGGCAGCTAAATACTCAGTTATTTCACTATAATAATTTTAGCTAGAAATAGGTTTGATGCTTGCCAGTAGTTGGTTGGTTGTCAGTGTCCAGTGTTTGGTTTCTTGAGTAAAGATTGTACAGTAGCTTCCTAAAGGGAAGCTGGCAACCTGCCCTCTGCACAGGAGGAATTGACAAGCTCAACCAACAATGGACCCCACTCTTCAGCAGTGGGAAGGGCATGCGTCCAAAGTGCAGGTTGTGGGGTAACATAAAACCAAGAACTCTAGTAACTCAAAAATTGCTTTCCTGTGTGGGATACCAGATGCAGAAAACTTCCTATGAGAACAAGTGGCCTTAAGAATTTTTTTTTCTGTATCAGCCTTTAAGAGCCTAAAGTCGTTGAACTTTAAATTTGCCATTTTCTTTTTCCTTGCCTTTTTAGCAAGTCCATCGTGATTGGGGTTAAACTGGATGACTGTACATTGCCAGCATGGTCAGGGAAGGAGGGGAAGCCAAGGCCATTATAAATAATTTTTCATGTAGAATCCCATAACTTTGATTCAGCTAAATAGTAAGGACTAAAACACTTTTGTAGACTGGGGGAGCCATCAAATACCACTTCTCAACAGCATTTCTTTGACTTTCCCTCCTGTCAAAACGTCAGAAGTTCTTATCCTGTTTTCCAGTCAAGCATGGGAAATTGCTTTCTTATATATACACCTCTCCCTTCTATGACTCCTTGTGTTTCCAGGAAGTCCGTGAAGGACTACCCCATACTGGTTCTAATTTTGCACATCTTGATCAAGAAGCCATTTTCCTGAGGCCTCTTTAGATAGTTACTTCTCCATCCCATAAGTGAAAATATCACTCTCCTTGGACATGCTTCACTGGGCTTTCTGGTACAAACCTGAAACTATATAGGAAGCACTAGTAAGGTGCATTTTTCCCCATTTACGCAAATAATTTAATCTTCTCCAAATATCCTGGAAAACGGTGCTTGGCAGCTTAAGGGAAGGGTCTTTAGGTCATTAAACACTAAAATTATTATCTTTAGGTCACTGAGTTAATGGAACAGGAGTACTTGTGGCACCTTAGAGACTAACAAATTTATTTGAGCATAAGCTTTCGTGGGCTACAGCCCACTTCTTCGGATGCATAGAATGGAACATATATTGAGGAGATATATATATACACATACAGAGAGCATGAAAAGGTGGGAGTTGTCTTACCACCTCTGAGAGGCCAATTAAGTAAGAGGAAAAAAAACTTTTGAAGTGATAATCAAGATAGCCCAGTACAGACAGTTTGATAAGAAGTGTGAGAATACTTACATGGGGAGATAGATTCAATGTTTGTAATGGCTCAGCCATTCCCAGTCTCTATTCAAGCCTAAGTTGATTGTATCTAGTTTGCATATCAATTCAAGCTCAGCAGTCTCTCTTTGGAGTCTGTTTTTGAAGCTTTTCTGTTGCAAAATTGCCACTCGCAGGTCTGTCATTGAGTGACCAGACAGGTTAAAGTGTTCTCCTACTGGTTTTTGAATGTTATGATTCCTGATGTCAGATTTGTGACCATTAATTCTTTTGCATAGAGACTGTCTGGTTTGGCCAATGTACATGGCAGAGGGGGATTGCTGGCACATGATGGCATATATCACATTGGTAGATGTGCAGGTGAACGAGCCCCTGATGGCATGGCTGATGTGATTAGGTCCTATGATGATGTCCCTTGAATAGATATGTGGACAGAGTTGGCATCGGGCTTTGTTGCAAGGATAGGTTCCTGGGTCAGTGTTTTTGTTCAGTGGTGTGTAGTTGCTGGTGAGTATTTGCGTCAGGTTGGGGGGTTGTCTGTAAGCGAGGACAGGTCTGTCTCCCAAGATCTGTGAGAGTGAGGGATGAGAGTTAATGGACAAGTCTTCACTTTGGGATTTGCTGGGAGACAGGATCCTCTTGTGATGCACCCTCATATTTTCCATTTCTTAAAGACCATTTCTAATCTTAAATCCCATGTCAAGGTTTACCTTCCAACTTGGATCTCACTTAAGTGTAATAGCCTTGACAATCTTCTCCTAATTTTCTCTGGGATGAGTTTCCCTTTTTACTTCAGCAAAGATGTAGCCTTAACATGACTGTGCCGCAATCCAAAAAAGCTCTACGTTCTTTATTCCACAGACTCTGAGAATTTTCTGTCTAGCAGGGCTCCCTTCCATAAATGCAATAATTTGGATGACCAGTTCAGATGCTAGAAGAGAGAGCATATAGGGCCTTTGTGTTGACAGTTTAAATGTTTGTTTGAATTGATTCATCTTGTTGTATAATTAATATGTAAGCAGGTCAGAATCAAAGTTCTGCAAACCTGCCACCTAATCCTCACTATTTCACCTTTATGAAGGATTACCATCTAGATATCCAAGTCTGCAGCCTTGAGACGCAAAGGCCTGCAGATGGTGGTACTTTCCTTAGTAATAATTTCTCTCTGTGTGTTCATCTCCTTCCTTCTTTTGTGTGACACTACTTTGGGCCTATGTCTCAGTAATCCTGAATCTGGATTATCAAATGCACTCTGCTGGAGAACCGGACAACATTATTCTACCTGTAATTTGGGTCTCATAGGAACGTATCTGCCAATCCATAGTTCCCTCTGTTTCTTCATCTTAATTCTGTTTCACCACAAAAAGATCCTGAATTAAGCAAATCTTTGGCTATTGCTCCTGAGGTCATGTGCCTTGTCCTGTATTTTTCTGTGTTCTCAAGGCCAGCAGAAAAACTTTTCAATAATAAAAACAGAAAAATTCATTAGTAAGGCTCAGATTTTGTCATGGATATTTTTAGGAAAAATCACAGACCGGTCATGAGCAATAAACAAAAATTCACGGAAGCCCATGACCGGTCTGTGATTTTTCCTAAAAATATCCCTGACAAATGAGGAGGGTCCAGCACACACAGCAAATGGACAGCTCTGGGTTCCCCTGCTGCCTGGTGGCCAGAAGCGGCTGAGAGCTGTGGGGTTGCTTGCTGACAGCTCCAGCCACAGAGCAGAAAATGTCACAGAGGTCTCTGGAAGTCACGGATTCTAACTTCCATGACATAATTGTAGCCTTACTCATCAATAAGGCTGCGACTTTGTCACGGAAGTCACGGATTCCGTGACTTCTGCAGCGGCCAGTGTGGCTGTCTCTGGGGCTGCCTGAGCAGTTCAGGCAGCCCCCAGGCCAGTCTCACTGGCCGCTGCTGGGGCAGTCTCAGGCGCCACACACCCCCAGCAGCAGCAGGAGGTTGGGTGGGGCTGGGGGTTGAGGCGCGGGAGAGGGTGAGGGCTCTGGATGGTGCTTATCTTGGGGGGTTCTCCCTGGAAGTGATTCCCAGCCAATGGGAGCTGCAGAGCTGGCAGCTCATGGAGCTAGGAGCTTAGAGAGGGACGTCTCCGCTTCCGACTCGATCCCCCCCCCGCCCCTTGGGCCCTTGCGCCCCCCCCCCCCCCCCCCCCAAACACCCGCGGCCCTCCTCGGGCCACTGCCCCCAGCACCCACAGCACTCCCAAGATTAAGTCAGGGGTATAGTACAAGTCATGGACAGGTCACATGCCATGAATTTTTATTTACTGCTCGTGACCTGTCCATGACTTTTACTAAAAATACCCGTGACTAAAAGGTAGCCTTACTCATCAGTGTTTGCTTGAAGGACAGCCCTCCTTCCTAGTAGTGCAGAATCCAAATTGGCAGATATATTACTATGAGAAGAATTGTTACTTTAGAAATGAAGTGAAGTAAATATTTCTAGGTAATCCCATTAGGCTATCCCTCTGCTGCATCATCGCTAACCAGTATATTAAAACAAAACATGCTTAAAAACACAATCAGGGTTTCTTATCTCATTTCTCAACTTCTGCTTGCAGGCTGCCAACAAGTGATGGCACTGCATCAAAAGGAAAACAGCAAACCAGCGAGCCTGTGCATATTTTAAAGAGGTCATTTGCAAGAACTGTCTCAGTGGTGAGTACTAGTTAGTCTTCAGTTTCTATGTTTTCATTTCTCATTGCAAAATCTAAAGATTTCAAGGAAAAAATTGTAATTTTACTGTATTTTCAGCTATAACTTTATAAAAATTCGCATACGTTGAGAGGAAGCTAGATGTATTAGTGTATTAAATGCGATTTTTTCACTTCTACCTCAACATTCCAATGCAATCTCATGTCCGAGTAAACTTTGATTATCATTGTGGTTGTCCAGATTGTATAATAGCATATTTATTGCAGTATGTTTTTACCTTTTAATGAGTAAGCTAGTTTGGAAAATTGCCTTCACTTTTGATGTTAAAATATTCATATGTATTGATAGTATCACAAATCATTGTCTTCACTAACTAATAAGTTGTTAATGATTCCACACCGTTCTGAGGCACCTAGTACTATTTATAGTCTTGTGCTGCCTTCAGAATATAACTGATTCCTAAGTAGTTACTGGTGAGATTAGTTTTTCTCCTGAATAAATTACATTACTTTGCACTTCCAGAACACATACTGTTTGTGGATCTCAAAGCACTTACTTAAGCCTCATTACACTCTGTGAGGTGAGGAATATACATAGGGGCACTGAAATGCAGCCACCTCTGGAGTGGAAGACCCCATCTGTTGAACACTGCATATCAGCACAGCAGAACAGTTTAAGACAAAATAAAGAACAGTTGAAATTCCAAGAAGACCCTTACATAAAATATTTGTGAGTTGGAATGTGGCCATTTCACTCCTCCTCTTACAAAAAGGGGGGGAGGGATAGCTCAGTGGTTTGAGCATTGGCCTGCTAAACCCAGGGTTGTGAGTTCAATCCTTGAGGGGGCCACTTAGGGATCTGGGGCAAAATCAGTACTTGGTCCTGCTAGTGAAGGCAGGGGGCTGGACTTGATGACCTTTCAAGGTCCCTTCCAGTTCTAGGAGATGGGATATCTCCATTAAAAAAAAATAAATAAAAAAGTGCCATGGGATCTTTATTGGTTGTAAATGGTGATTAGTTTAGTTTTGAATTTCATCATATGACTTTACGTCTTGTCTTGTACAGCACCAAGCGTACGGTCCACACTTGGCAACTAATAATCGTCTGAAAGGTTCTGCCTCCAGGAGTATACATCTTAATTTTCTTCACTGTTACAGGGTGTCTGGCCCCTTTAAGGGGAGATGAGCCCAGCCCCATCTGTGCCATGACCCAACTCTCCTGCCTAGGTGGGGAGAATGAGGTCAGGTGACCCAGATCAGTCTTGGGGTAGATAAGGAGGGGGCCTAAAGAGACAAGAGACTGCAGCTTGGTGTTGGCTGATGCCTGCAAGCACAGCAGAGAGTAAGAAGGCTCCTGCAGGGCCCTGATTCAGCAGAGGGAAGGCACTAATGGGGAAGAAGGCATTGGAGAAGGCCGAACTCCAGGCAAGAAGTACTGGGAGAGCAGTAAGCCAGACCATCAAAGAAGGGGCTGTGCCCAGGTTGAAACTGGAGCAGAAGAGTGTTTGAATGCTGGAAGGAGGACAGACAGACCTCAAGGAGGAGTGGCTGTGCCCAGTGTGAGACTGAGGCTGAAGATACTTTTATTTTGAGTTTATTTTATGCTAATAAGCCAGACCTCAAGAAGAGGAATTTTTATTGAGCAGAAGCCTTTATGGAATTATTGAGGAGCCTGAGTGAAGAGGAAAATGAGGCAGGGCGCCACTGGCCACAAGGGGCACCAGGGAGGCAGCCCACCCTGTTACATTCACCAGTTCTTTTTTATGTCCTCTTTTATGTGGCCATCTGTGTTTGGAACTCCTTTAATTACCCAGTCTGTTATCTGCTGTCCTCCTCTAAGTTTCTTCTTAAAACTTTCCGTGTGGCCAGAAAACCCGTGTTGCCTTCTTTTAATAATGGCATTAAAACAAACTAACAATTACTCTCCACCAAATCTATGTATATTTCAAGATATCTGCTTTTACTAAGCCAAGCAGTCACATGATTTTTATTGGGTGTCCTCCTTCCTTATTTTGCCGGTTTGTCATCCCATAACATGTCTTAACCTGAATTGTAAACTATTTGGGATGGGAACATCCTTTCTGGTTAGGGCACTTTATAAATAACCAACACTTTTTTCCCCAGAGGTCTTAGGTGTTCCTAGGCGGTGTCCCATGCAAGTACTGACATAGATTCAAACCTGATTAGCTTGTAAGCTCTGGCATTGACAGCACCAGGCATGTAGTTATAGATTCTTTTTCATTAAGGCAAGGATGCGCTCAGTTGAAAATAAGTATTTTTTGAAAATTGTCCATGGTACTTATTCAACAACTAAAAACAATTTTTGAAAGTTTATTTTAATTCATTATAAATTAATTAGGGCTATCAGCTATGTTGATCACCTGAATATTTTATGTATGATAGAGAGGCTTATCTTCAGTTTTCAGTTTCCACTCACAAGACATTGTTATATACAATGCAGGCTGCTGGGGGTGTATTTGTGTTATAATAGTGAATTACCTCCGGCATTTCTTTCTTTTCTCATCCTCAAATTAAAAGCACTCTTTAATGTGGTTAGTAAGGTTTTGTGTGTGTGTGTGTGTATTGATGTAAGAGGGTTTTTTTTTTTTTATATTACCGATGTAGATAGGTGCCATTAGTTTGTAATCTTCCTTAGAAATTTGAACTTGACTTTTTTTTCCTTTCCTGAAATAGGAATGCTTTGAGTCATTGCTAAGCATTCTTCATTGGAGTTGGACAACCTTAGTCCTAGGAGTTGAGGAGCTTCGGGGATTGAAAGGATTCCAGTATACAGCTACCCTTCTCGATCTAGAGCGGTTGCGTTTTGTGGGCACTTGTTGTCTCAGGTTGCTGAGGGTCTACACGTGTGAGATATACCCCATGTCAGGTAATATTTTTTGTCTTATGCATGTGATTAATATTTATCAGTAGACAGGTAACATAAAATATGGAAATAACTTGAGTAATAAGCAGAATTTTCAGTTAATTGATTTTTAGCAGCTGTATCACAGTTTGAAATATTTTTAGTGGAGCAATTTAAGAGAGTAGGGATTGATGCATTCAGAAATAGGAAACTTTTGCACTATCAATTATATGCCTAATGGAACATACAACTGCACATGTTTGATTAATCTCCTAATTATGTCAAAATATATTTTCATGCTTAAGTAGACAGCTATGCCTTCAGGACTACCCTGTGGTTTGTTATCCAGTTTCTGTGCATAGTATTTGCTTTGCTAGTAAGCATAATCAATTAAAATTTGAAAGCAAATGTGTTAGCTTACAAGTGTGAAAACAGCAAAGTGCATCTTTATTAAAATTTAGTAGCATCTGTATATCCTTGTTTTATTTCATTAGGATCTAGGTCTGAAAAGTTTCAAGTTCTCACGTATATTTAACGTTGCTTAATTTTGATTTGTCTTGCTTTGTGTCAATATATACAATTACTGAACTGTTTTTTAATTTTCTCTTGTTAAAAATATGCGTATACTATTTTTAACTTTCTGTGTAACTTTTGTGTTTAGCTACTGTATATAATTTACATTGTAATAGACAAAAATATACACAGATATTTTGTTAATTGTAAATTTAATGTACTGCTTGTTATCACCTTCTAGCTACTGCTAAGGCTGTTGTAGAGGAAACTAGCAAGTTAGCAGACTGCATTGGGAAAACAAGAACCTTGCTGAGAAAAATTCTATCTGAAGGAGTTGATCACTGTATGGTGAAGCTGGACAATGACCCCCAAGGATATCTCAGTCAGCCCCTGAGTCTTCTAGAAGCTGTTCTTCAAGAATGTCATAACACTTTCACAGCCTGCTTTCACTCTTTCTGTCCAACACCAGCTCTACAATGGGCTTGCCTCTGTGACTTGCTGAATTGTTTAGATCAGGTATACATTAAATAACATCACTGAACAGTAGTTCTTGCAATGCTGTTCTGTGCTCTAAAGAGACACAAAAATAAGATTCCTATTCTACTTTTTTTCACTTTTTTTAGTTAGATTAATTTTTATCCTGCTTTTACAATTTGAGTTGCTATACACTTCTATACATATAGTATAAATCTTATAACCGCTGTCTTATGATCTAAGGTACAGTATTCTGGGTGAGGCTTATTTTATGAATTGACACTTACATTTGTAAATATAGTCTCAGATAGAAGGTGTAATAGAAAAAGAGGAAGACAAACAAATTCTTAAGGCTTTTATAGATAACCTTTTGGACACAATATTTTGGAAAATGGTGTAGGATGCATTTATTTACTAGATAATTTTTTATTTGGTATTTGTGTTTGTGGGATTTGTCTTTGGATGGAAATATTTAGTTGAAAATGCACAAAACATTTTTATTAATTAAATTAAAATATATTAAATGATACATAAGAAAAAAGCATCGGCTTTGCTTTTAAAACTTTAATAAACAAAGAAAGTATTAACTGTAGTTAGTGAATTGGCAGATTGTTTCTGGCCACCACAGGCTGGATTTTCAGAGGTATTTAGATTCCTAAAGATGCAGATAGTCACCCAGTGGGATTTTCTGAAGCGTCTATGCAGGTTAGTTGCCCAACTCCCATTTATTTCAATGGGAGTTCATTAGGCAACTAACTCTCATTGAAATAAATGGGAGTGTCACAGTCCCAATAGTCCCTATTGAAGCTATGACCTAATGTGAATAGCTGTAAATGAAACTGATTTTGTTAAGCGTACTAAGGCCAACTTTTATGGTTAAAATCATTCATATGCTTACGTTTATTGCTCAGCTGAGGACATAATTTTCAAGTTTAAAAATTATAATTTGATAATGTCATAAATTTGGGAAGTAAAATAACATTTGAGAGAAGTAGTGTGTTAATAAACTTAAGTTAAAAACTATTTGAGATCCAAAGAGTGAAGGTAATGTAAAATATACAAGAGAATTGACATTTTTATGCTTTGCTACTTACAGCAAACATTTTAAAAATAGATTTAATAACTAAAGTGCCACTGGAAAAAGCCTTTCACTGTGATTTAGAAGCTTCTTTCACAAAAATTAATGTTAGTTATAGTGGTGCAGTAACCTGAATGTTACTAGGAGAGAGGAAACTACTGTGAGAATAGAAGGATGGTCCTTTGTTTAAAGAACTAGACTATAACTCAAGAGATCTGTGTTCAGTTCCCAGTTCTGCCTGAAATATATCCTGTGACACCTTGGGGAAGTTACTTAGTCTCTCTGCTCCTCAGTTCCCATCTGTAAAATGGGGATAATAGTACTTCCCTAGTTCACAGAGGCATTGTGAGGTTCTCAGATACTATTGTGATGGGGGCCATATAAGTATGTACGGTAGAATGTGCACAAAATAATAGTATGAATTTGAAAACCTATACTTCACTTACTATTTGTTTAATATTTTCTCTTTTTTTTTTTTTTTTTTTTTAAAAAGGACATCCAGGAAGCAAACTTCAAAACATCAAGTAGCCGGCTTCTTGCAGCTGTAATGTCAGCCCTGTGTCATACTTCCGTAAAGCTGACCTCTATCTTTCCTATCACTTATGATGGAGAGGTGTTGCTGCGATCCATGGTCAAACAAGTCAGCACCGAGAATGACTCTGCACTGGCCCACCGTTTCCCTCTCTTGGTAGCCCATATGGAAAAACTTAGTCAGGTTAGGAAATTTTCTGAAATCTATCTATCTATTTAATTTTTTTGTAACAGCAAACCAATAGAATGGAAAGGGAATTTGGGTCTGCTTTATAGGATTGTAGCCGAGGTTGCCTACGTGTTTCCATTCTAAGTGGCTTATTTCAGATGCTTACAACTTTGTCAAACATTCATCTTTTAGGCTGAAAATTCCCACATTTGTTCTCAACTGGAGAGAAAATTAAATTTTGGAAAGTTGAATCAAAAGTAGCTTAGTCATTTGAGTACATTGGGGGAAAATACCCTTTTGTCGCTATTAGTTTTACTACATATTTTTCATTAATAATCTCAGTTTTTTATTGATTTTGCACATATGACCACATAAGCTGAGTAAGTCTTTTTTTAATGTGTCCCCATGATCGGTGAGACTGATAGGCTTTAATGAATGATCTCACGCTACTTTTGGATCATAAATAAAGCAGGAGTGAGAAGTGATTGAGGCTGGTACCTGGGAGATCCCAGCTTCGTTCAGAGGTTGGAAGGTCTGCAATGAAAGAGTCAGAGGACCACACATAAGCAAGGATTTAAAAACAAAAAAACCCCACAAGCCACCCATCCTCCACAATGAATGAAGCATTGTCCTGAAGCAATAATATTATATGTTCAAAAACAGTACTGTACTTTAATGAATCAACATGACATCCTAGATGTTTTGAAGGATTGGTCACGAAGATACGGACTTGGCCCGGGTTCAGAATCTTGTATAAGAAGCCTTTCATATGGGTGATAGGATTAAGAAAGCTGCTGCCTAGCTCTCAGTTGGAAACCTGAAGATCTGCTTCACTGCAGTAGTCTGGGTTCCACCAAAAGTTCAAGAAGAAACCTGAAGAACTACCCTACACTGGGGAGAACTGCTTTGGGAAACGGCAGAAATCTCTCTATGGAAGGCAGAGTAGATGTTTACCTGAATTGGGTCTGGTGTATTTCACTTTCCTCACCACTATTTGTGGGGTGGTGATATGTTTTTCTACATTAATGATTGGCTTTCAAGGTGTCCAGTATCTCCTTACACAGACATATCAGCTCACTAGCAACAGAAATGAAAGGATTCTAGGTCCCCTGTCCACAAGCACCTAACAAGGGCTTTTTAAGGGGTCCAGAACATCTAGACAATCAGCTACTTGCTATAGCTTGCCGAACTACCTTATTGGGAGGAGATTGGGGCCTTTTATCATGCTAGTTAGAGGTCCGTAGCTATCTAGAACACATGTATCTTGAGTATTATGGTTTACCTGCAAGATGAAATTTTTAAAAAAGCCCAACCTCTGCTGATTGCTCCTGGCCTCTGGGTACACTCTTGGGTATGGCCTTATCAAGAAGGGACACAGTAGGAAGTAAATTCCTTCTGGCAAAGAGAGCCATTTATTCCAGTTTCTTCCTGATAATGAAAGACAGGCAGACTCCAACCCATTCTGGTGCTATGGACTTGAATCAATATTTGGTCAAGAAAAAATTCAAGATGGTCACATCTTTTCTCTTTCTTGCCCTGGATGCTATTGATTCTTACCTATAGGGAAACTTCCCTATCACCACAGTATCTTAGATTAATTGTAGGCGGAACATCATGAGTATGTTCAGGGGTTTGAGGCTGGCATCAGTCCCAGTTGTTTTCACAAAATGCTGGGTAATGGTTGTGGCTTTCTTGCACAGTTTGGGAGTTCACATGTTCCCCTAAATGGATGATTAGTTCACCCATGACACCACTCTGGAGATATCAGATTAATCTAATTTACAACTGTTGTCTTTTGTGGTGCATTTATTTGGAAATGTGTCTGCGTCACAAAAATAGTGATTGAAAAGAAGAAATGTTAAGGGGCTTAAATTATCATGCTTGTTGTGAGCTCCATATTTAGTAAAATCTGCTATGAGTGGATTGGAAGGTTAAACCCATGTTAACTCAGTGATTTTTCAAAAAGGGTGTTAATGACTTGCATGTAAAAAGAGATGATTTGGGAGATAGTTTCTAGATGAGTGAGTGTAATTGCTATTCGTGTTTGTTCGCATTTTGAGTGTTCTCATCAGGAGGAGAATAGTTCTCAAACTAAAGGTTTATATTCTTGAAAGAAAAGTAGTTATAAATGAAACTCTCCTGCAAAATCCATATACTGCTCAAAATTGAAAAAGTGCAATTGTGCAATTTCTCGATTTCCTGTTGACAATAAAACAAGGTGTTAAACTTGGGGGGGGGGGGGGGAAATCAAGGTCATTTGGTGCAAGATGGATTATGTTTTATAGAATGATATTATGTTATTGGTAGCGATTTCTCCAGTAAGTTATCGTTTGTGCCTTTGTATATGCAATGTGTATATATTGCTGTCAAGTGAGACACTTCCTCATCTTGATTGTTTTCATAGCGCCCTGTTTTCGCTTTTTAAAATGTTCGTAATAGCTTTCATTACCTACAGTAAAGACTCTGTAGAGGTTGGAGTCCCTGAGATCAAGGATATTTTATAAAGTTAACCGCATTTGAAGAAAAAAGGTAGTGTGCAACATTCCTAGTGTAAACTAATAGTTTTTAGCTAAAAATACCCACCAGTTTTATAGTAGAAGCACAAACCCGAGACGATGAATATATCAAGAAATATCTTCAGTAAAGAATTTTTACATTTAAGTAATTTTGCTCTCCATAGTACTGAAAAGCAGCAAGGCTGGCTAGATAGTACATGCATAATATAGATACCTATAGATATGTATTTATATAATACAATGTGACTCCAGTTTTCCTTAATACGAATAACTTCATGTAGTTGTGATAGTTAAAGTTGCAAAACTGCATGGTGTCCTCATACTGTCTTATATTGACAGATTTTCATAGATTCACAGACCTTTCAATTTCACCCAGTTACCTGTGCATTAAGCCTAGTAACTTGTGTTCTGTTTGTCTAATGTACATCTTCCATAAAGGCATCCAGTCTTGTTTTGAAGACCTCAAGAAATGGAGAATCCATTACCTGCCTTGGTTTTCTGTTCCCGTGGTTAATCACCCTAATAACACACAACCCAGTCCACAGTGTTTGTAGAAGTGAGTCTAGACTTGATCACAGCCAAAAGTGTATCTTCAGTAGTACAGGTTCCAGGCCACAGAAGAGCTTGCTGCACAACTCAGACTAAGCCCACAGATGCAGGTTTGCTCCTGTTTCATTCTCCTGTGTCATGGGGCATCCTGCATTTGTGAGACATGGTTGACTGCATGACTAGCTTCACACAGTTTACTCACCAAACAGAAACAGTATAAGCAAGTTAGTCTCCCTCCCACACAAGAGGAGGTGATTCCCTCCAGTAGCCTTTCTAGCCCTGTGAAGAGAATAGGAACTTGTTTTTTGGCTGGGCATTTAGCCTAGAAAAGCTTGTTCAGAGGCAGTTCATGCTATTCTCAACAGTTGGAAAAAGTCCATGAGAAAATACTACACATCCAAGTGTCAACGGTTTTCCATCTGGGCCAATAATTGTCACACAATTCCAGAAGAAATCAACATCCCTACTATCCTGGACTACTACTTCTCCCTGAAGATCTCAGGTCTTTCCCTTAGCTCAATAGGTGTCCACTTGGGAGCTATCAGTGCCTGCCATCCTCTGATCAATGGCTGCTCTATTTTTGTCCATCCTGTAACAATTCATTTTTTGAAAGACTTAAGTTAGAACTTTCTCAACTGTAAGCAAATCTCTTCCATCTTGGGACTTCAGTCTGGTCCTCTCAGCACTAACAAGGCCTCCTTTTGAACCATTGGTGTCTGGCTTCCTATATCATTTCTCCATAAAAGTCATCTGCTTGGGAGCCGTCAACTCGATTGGATGGATGGATGAACTGGGAGACTTTATGGCAAACCCACAATACACAGTCTTTCACAAAGTTAAGATTATGCTGAGACTGCATCCGAAGTTTATTCCTAAAGTGATTTCAGACTTTCATCTCCATCAGCCCATCACCTAACTTTTCCTGAAATTTCACACCTCTAGCAAATACAGATGTCAGCATTTCCTGGATGTTCATAGTGCAGTGGTGTTCTATCAGCAAAGAATAAAAAAGAATAAAAACCATTTAAATGGCCTATGTTCATATCACTTGCAGAATGGATGGCAGGGAAGCCATATTGTCTGAAAAGACTTCCCAAATGGATCTGAGGGTGCATCCTACTGTGTTATGAACTAACACTGCTCCACTACAAGATTTGAAAGTCCACTTTACCAGAGTTCAGACAGCTTCAATAGCTTTTGAGATGTTTCTATTAATGTAACCTGTAAGTCAGCCCATACTTCTCCAGATATTAGGCCTTAGTACCAGCCTTGAAAGCTGACACTTCCTGTGCTCCCATCTGCGGTGTTCCAGTCTTCCTCACACCCACCACCGCAATAGACGCTGCTCATCGATCACCCACAATGGAATACACAAAGAAGAAATGGGGAGGTTACTTACCTGTGCTGTGGCTGGAGTTCTTTGAGATATGTGGTCCTTATCTGTATTCCACTATCCATCCTCCTCCCTCTGCTGCAGACTTAATTATTGATTCATGCTAGAGAAGGAACTGGAGAAGGTGGTTGGTCTGCACTTCCCCTTAAGCTCTCAATCCGGAGCTCAAGGGGGTGAACGATGCAGGCACAGACCAACGAACACTGCCAGCAAAAATCTTCCGGTCTCAGGCACATGTGTACCCCCATAGTGGAATACAGATAGGGATCACACATTTTGAAGAACTCCAGTTACAATACAGGTAAGTAACCCCCCTTTCATGTGCCTCCACATACAGTTTATGGACTGCTGCAATGGAGTTTATTTTTATGAATTTAATACAACTGTTCGTGTATCTCCACACACTGATTATGGACTATTGTGTTGTTTTTAATAAATTTATTAAAAGGAACCTTGTCATAGAACCTTGGAACATGTTCTTATTTGCAAATAGAATACTTTATTTAAAACAAGCATGTAAATAATTTTAAAACCTTACAGGCATACCAGGTGACATCAAGGTGAAAAAGACAGTAAATGAGAACAGTCAGAAAAAAAGTGAAAAAAAAGTGCAAAATGGCCAAGCTATGTACAGTGGCACCACAGCAGTTCTCCCATGTTCCCCTTTTCTTCTTGCCCATTCTGGTGTGCTTTGCATGCATAAGCTGTGGATGAACAGGTGCAGACTGATGTACAGGGTACATTTTATTGTTCCATGCACTGTTTATTGCTTGGATCATGAACCAGACAACCCCAGAATTGTCCATTGTCTGCAGAGGCTGCAGGATGTGGTAGCGTGGAGGGGGACTCAGCACGTGGAGCTAGAGCTTGTAGCCTGGTGGCATGACAGTGAGCAACCTCTCAAAAAGTTCCTGGTGCTACACCCTGTCCTCCTTCCTCAATCTCTGGCCATGTTGCACAAACTACACCATCAGTCTCTTCTCCTGCTAGGTTGCCTCACTCTGTCTATAGCCTTCTCTTTTCTCTTGTAATCAAGCTGTTCATCAGCCCTGGCCAGAATTCCTGCATCATTTCATTCCTGACTCTTCTTGCATGTTAGTTGAGAATCTGCTTCCCCAGGCTCCTGGTTCCTTGCCTCTGCCCAGCAGAGGTGAAAGGATCTGCTAAGGAAAATAAGAGCACATTGTCTGACCCAGGTGTGGGTTGGGGAAGACACTATTGCCCTTTTTCCAGGGCTGCAGTACTTCAAGGTCACAGGATATGATATTTTACATGAATTGGATTTATTTTATTCATCTTTCATTCACTGGCCAGTTTAGAAGCTCCTGCAAGCCATGCTTTAAGCCAAGAGACATGATAAATTGACATACTAAAATCAATTAAAATAATAAACAAGTCTCCATATTTTTCCCATTGATGCAGAGGTTTCCTATGAAGAGGATCCTGTTACTATGATTTTACAGTCCTTTAAGGCAAGACAAAGTCTGGAGGACATTGTGGTTCTAGAAGTGCTTGGATAGAAACAGAGCAGCAGAGGAGCGCCATCTGTCTATTCTAAGGAGATTTTTTGGCATCTGGTGTCTGATCACATCTGTGAATGGAGTGGGCTTTTGAACTACAAAGGAGCCATAATAAGTATGCCCGGCTCTGGAATTTAACCAGCCATCTAGAGTTCCTACTCTGTGGGTATGGCTACATAGCCCATGGCAGTGAGCCTCCCAGCCCGGGTTGCTGGACTCGGGCTAGTACTCTAAAACTAGCTGTGTAGGCAGGGCTTTGAAGTTTTGGCTTGGGCTAAAGGTTGGACTCTGAAGTCAACCCGCATCCCTAGGCTTCAGAGCCTGAGCTCCAGCCCAACCCACAATACCAACAGATATGTTTAGAGGTAGTGCAAGCCTGAGTCTGTTGACCTGAGCTGGGAGGCTTGCTGCCAGGAGCTGTGTATACATACTGTGTGAGAAGTTCACATGCATCACCAGCCAGAAATGGGTGCTCTCCAGGGCCATCCCAAAACAGATCCTCTGAATATGGGCCTAGGATGTGCTGCAGCTGCTCTGGCAGCATAGCCTGATCTGGGACTGGCATCAACAACAGGGTTACTTTTGAGGGGTTGATCTAGCAACTGCAGGCACTCTTCTGGTTCTGCCTCTGTGGTTATAAACATCCCTGCTCAGGCCTCTTGGTGTGGTCCCCAGCACCTGATCAAATTCCTTGTAGAAGGGGCAGGTAGACAGGGAGTTCCCTGAGGTGTGGTTCCTGTCCCTGGGTTTGTGATAGGCATTCTTGAAGGACTTAACCCGCTCCCAGCATTGAGCTCTGGGCTGGTGGAGCACAGGTGCTGCCAGCCTCTCCAAGATGCTTATGTACATATGTTCATTTCTTGTGTTCTTGCTGAAACCATGGCTCTTGTTCTCCTCACACCACAGATTCATCATAATCTTTCTGTGTTCCTCTGTCCAGCTAGCAGTATGCTGAGTGTTAGTCTGCTTCTTAGTTGTGGGAATAGCTAATGTGCAATAGGGTTAGCTGAGGAGCTCACGTGAAGGAAGGATTAAATGCCAGGCAGTTGTATTTTAACCAGGAGGTTGCTTCCAGTTCCTGGAAGTCAGGTGGGAAAGTTTGGGGATTAAAGGTTCAGAACACACAGGCCTATGGGATTGTGGGATAGCATTGATGGTCTTTCCAAACACAAGCCTGGTGACCTGGGCTTTGCCTACATCCACACTGCAAAGCTAGCAGGCTTAGACCTGTGCCACAGTAGGATATGGACTCAGACTCGTGCCCCTGGGCTAGTCAGCAGGCCTGCGTCTTGAGAGGCTTCTGGCACCTCTCAGAAGGCTGTGTGTGTGAATGGTACAGGGGGGTTGGGTGTAAAGCTGACTCAGAACCTGGGTTGACTATGCAATGTAGACATACCTTTACAAAAAGCAGAAGCTTCTGGGACAGAGAAGACATGCAGACTGTTTGATACATATCTAGTTAATCTCTGCATTGACTTTCATTGTATGATTCATGACGCATGCTACATGAAAAAAGCTGAGACCTTCTCCTCCAGTAGAGAGAGCTTTCATTGCTGGGATATAGCTATTGATGAGGTAATGGACTATAAGGGTCTGTTATGACCGTTGTGACTATGCACAAGCCTATCTAGGAATTCTCTTTCCGGTTATAGCATAATATTCTTAATGAAACCTAGTTTTTATTGTATTTGAGAAGACAAAAACGTAAATCTATGTCTGGCTGAATGAATTGTTGAATTGCTACGATTGTATACTAAACATGAATTAGCGTCAATATTTTCCTGAAGTCCTGATTTTTAAAAGTTATGATGAGCTAATTTAAAAAGGCACTGATACCTCAATTACTGCAAGATAATTAAATTCTTTCATTACAAGTTGACTTTTATGTAGAGGTACTGGGGGTTGAACTGGTAAAACCTTATTCTCAGAAAAATTGAGGTTTTTTTCTGTTAAAGTAGACCCACGTTTCAAATAAAAGTTGGAGTTTTTTGAGTAGGGGGTGGGTGTTTTCCTTGGATTGCGGAGTATCAGTGCAATTTTTAGATTGGGATTCTTTTTGTAACTGGTTTGTACATCCTACTATGTATGAGCATTGCTGAGACTGTGTACAGTTTTTTAATATCTTTTTTTTAAGGAATCAAAATTTAAAATGTGCATCACCATTGTAGTTCTGAGAAATGTCAGAGTCAATGCAAAAAATGCAATGATGTATAAAGGATAGTTTATACGTTGATGTATGTGAAGTTTTACCAGATAAATCTGCTAATCATCTTATTCACAGCTCATGCAAAATGTAGGAATGTGAATTTAGCATCACAAATTTTTTTCTTATGGTTTGATTTTAAAGTGATCTGAAGTTCTAATTTAGAAAGGTACCGATGCCTCAATTATTATTACAGATAATTTATTTTATTACAAGCTGATTTGTATATAGAGATACTGTTGGTCATTTCTAATATTTTTTTCATACCACAGAATGAGGAAAATATCTCAGGGATGACAAGCTTTCGGGAAGTGCTAGAAAAAATGCTGGTTATTGTTGTGTTACCAGTCAGAAACAGTCTTAGACGAGAAAATGAGCTCTTCTCTTCACACCTGGTTTCCAATACCTGTGGACTTCTTGCTAGTATTGTGAGTGAACTTACAGCTTCTGCACTGGGATCTGAGGTAATAATGATTCTGTAAAATTACCTTTGATATCAGTGTTTTAAAGTATTTGTACATTATGAATGTAATATTTACTGTGATCGCACTTAATGTTTCGACCTGTGTGAAAATTTTTACTGGTTTTACTGCTATTCCTCATACGTGTAGGAAGTCTCTCTCAAACCACTAAAATACTTCTTTTTAAATTGTGTAATCACTCTCTATTATTGAAGTGCTGTTCACGATTAGCCATTTTGTTATGGCTGAAGAATACAGTGTACCTTTCCCAAAATTACAGCAATTACTCTGTGTACAGAATGAATTTTGTGAGAATTTACAAATAATACTATTCAGGTAGAGTTAAAATTAAATATCATCTCATTTAAAAGACAGTTTGGCCACTGTTTCTTCCTGTTCCTGAACACAAGCCAAATAGCTGTTATTGGCTATTAAGGCTTGCATCCTCCTTCCCTTCAACGGCCTCCACCAATTGGTCTTTTAATTTAGTCACCTCTGCCACAAGGGCATTATTTTCTCAAACTAAGTTTCTAACTACCTATATCAAGCCTTGCAGAAGGACTCTCCTAACCTTCTTTTGCTTCCTATCCTGCACAGTATTCATAAGGAATTGTTCAATTTCACCGCAGTCTGATAAGGAGTGTTGAGGAAACCCAAAAGTGCCTCCATTTTGATGGACCTACCCATCCAGGGCCCCTTGGACCTCACAGTGGAGCAACCTGGCCAGCAGATAACTCCAACTCATGGCCAGGAGTTTACAGATTATATCCACTAATAGTAGAACCTTATTAATCAAGCAAGGTTCAGATAACATTTACATGAACTATCAGACAGATAACCATTGATATGATGGGTTAACAAGTACCTTTTGAATACCTCATGACTACATATGGCATTTCAATCATTATCTAGTGTAGCCTTTCATGAGTGCAACATTGTTACAGCTCCTCATCTGAGGAGTCCCTTTTGCACATGCTCCAGCCCACAAAGTTCATCCAGTGGGCAGCTTGACTCACATCTTTAAACTCTCACCAACCTACTCTCCTCCCAGCCATGTCTCGAATGGCAGTATAGCCTACACTAAGGGTGTAAGGGAAGATGTGGATTAACCTCCCCTCCAATTCCTTCTTTCCACTGTATGGCCTGAGTCAGAAGAATCTTCTGTGTCCAAAGCTGCTTCAGTCTTCTTATCTGTTGACATATATTGTAAATAATTCTGTAAATAATAGTGTTTTTATAGTTTTTTTAAGTTGTATAGAGAATTTTTTACCTGCCTTGGGGACTCTCCCTATTTTCTCCCCTTGGAAGAAGGACTGTGCACAGAGTTCCAAGGCTTAAGAACTGTCTCCCCTGCCCCTGCTCCTTCTTGGTCAGCAGTGACTACTAACGCTGCCTTTACTGCCTTAGAGAGGCTCATGTTTCTGCCACATGCAGCATCTGCCACTCTTTCCGACCCCAAACTTGAGAAGGACGAGAGCTTCAACAGAGGAAGCACCTCATGGAAAAAGCCATGAGACCCCAATCAGATCTAGACCAGGAGTACCCCCCTCCCCCCACCCGTACACAGGCCTCTGTCTGCAAGCAGCGCCCCTCCAAGCATGAGCTCTCAGGCTTTTCATGAGAGTGAGGGGCACTGTCACAAATGCAGGATCAGATCTCATGCTTGGGCCCTAAAGACTTGGATCTGCCTACATTTTTTGATCACATATCAATCTCCTAGAACTACGGGCAGTACGAAGGGCCTGCAGTGCTTTCCTCCCACTTCCATGGTCCTGCCCTGTCTGAATAATGTTAGACAATGTGATGACTGTCTTCTCTATAAACAAACAAACAAGGAGTAAAATCTCTTTCTGTATAGAGGTCGTCCACTTATGGAACTGGTGCATCTGGAATTACTCCACTCTTTTAGTGATGTACCTCCTTCATGCACAAAACTCTCTGGCAGACAATTTCAGCAGACACATCTCCATAGACCACGAGTTGGTGATTCACAATTCATTTTCATTGCACCTGTCAGGGGCAGGTGTCGGCAGTCTTACTGAATAGTTAGAACTGGGTTGAGGGCATCAGGGACTGGATCTGGGGACCAAGGGTCAGAGCCAGGAGCAGGGAAGGGAACGCAGGGCTGGAGCAGGATAGGATCAGGGCTAGAGAAAGACAATAGCAGCCAGAGGCAAGCATGGTCACAGCTGTGGGCAAAAAGCATTGAGTAGTTGGTGCCCAGATGCTGCTGAGCTTAACAGGAGGCCTGCTGGCTCTCTTCAGCCAATCAAATGGACCTGTCAATCAGGCAATCCTATCACAACTCAGTTGAGCTCATTAATCAGCCTGGAGGCTGGCCTGGCTAGTCCTTGCGCTCAGCTGAAGTTGTTCAATCATGATAGCACTCAAGTGGCCCAGGCAATTCTGGTTTCTGTACCTCCTGCAAATCTTCACCAATCTTCCCATCAGCATCTAGCCCTTCCCAGATCTGCTGAATCAGGAGAATGGTGGGATCAGATATGACAACCCAGACTATCTCCACATCACAGGCTGGTATTTGGATCGGCATCAGACCTACAGTGTTCATTTTCGGAGTCCAGTTGGACTGTTCTCAACCACAGCAGAAAAGACTCCACCAGAAAATGTTACCTAGCTTAATCAAGGCATTTCTCTAGCTGGGCACAACAAAATCTCTTCTGTCCAAAACTGTGCAGGGATCCCTGGTATTGACTGCCTCCTCACTCTCAAGACAATCAGGCCTTTCTACTGGCTTGCAGCAGGTCCACTTAACAGCAATCAATGCCTTCCACCCTCTGGAGGAGGACTATTGTGTTTTTATTCACCTGCTTACAACTAGATTCCTAAAAGGCCTCATGAGGACCTTCCAAGCACTAATGAAGCCCACACACCAATGGGACCTCAATCTTGTATTCTCAGTACTTACCATACTGTCATTTGGACTGTTAGCTGCATGCTCAGTGTTCCACCTGTCTATGAAGATCACCGTTCTCGTTGCCATCATGTCAGGCAGGAGGGTGAGTGAACTGGGAACTCTCATGGCTGATCTGCAATACACCATGTTTCATAAGGAAAAGGTTTCCTTTTGCCTCCACCTGAAATTCATCCCTAAGGTAATCACCAAGTTTCACATGAATTCGCCTACCAGTATTCTTTCCAAAACCTCGTGCTTCCAGTGAGGGGAAAAAATTTCATTCCCTTGACCTCCGAGGAGCTTTTAACATTTTATTTGCAAAGAATGAAATCAATTAGGAAGTTGTCTAGACTATTTGTCGCTATAGCGAGTGATCGGGCAAGCATTGTGTGCTCAAAGACTCTCTATGTGGATCTCTGGCTGTATCATCCTTTGCTATCAGTTAGCACATCTTCCTTCTCCAGACACAGTGAGGTCCCATTCCACTAGAGCACAGGCAACTTCATTAGCATCTCTTCAGGACGTACTTATATTGGACATTTGTAGGGCAGCCTTTGTGTTCCATCCACAACTTCATGAAGTATTACGCTTTAGTCCCAGACTCTTCTGCAGACCCAGTCATTGGGACAGTAGTATTATACATCTATACTGCTGCATCCTTGTACCCCTTCCTAGTTGAATACTGCTTAGCAGTCACCCACATGTGCAATACTCATAGGGACCAGCACTCAAGAAGAAATGGAGGTTACTTACTTGTAACTGGAGGGTCTTTGAGATGTGTAGTCCATATCTATATTCCACTACTCATCCTCCTTCCCCTCTGCTTGGGATTATGTCTGGATTCATGATAGAGAAGGAACTGGGGAGGCGGTTGATCTGCACCTTCCCTTGTAACCTCAGTACTGAGCATGAGGAACGCCAGGGGCAAGGATGCAGACCAACAGACACTACTTGCAAATTCTCCCTTCTCGTGCACATACAGAGCATGAATACAGTGTCTGGAATACAGATAGGGATCACACACTCAAAGAAACTCCAGTTACAGATAAGTAATTTTCCATTTAGTAGTACAACAGTACTTCCAGAATTTTGCCATATCTATTCTTAAAACAAAAGCTGCAAAAATCAGCTGAACTTTTTGACCCCTTAAGAATGAATAAAGTGATTCATTTGATCTGCTAAGAGTGACAGAAGCGATACATGGCATTAATATATTGTATATCTTTCCTTCAAAAGAAATTTCAAGCGAAATTTGCCATTTTAAAGTTTCTAAAATATTTCCTGCTTAGTTTTGTTAAAAATATTTAGTCAGATATTTTAGACAAATTTGAGAAAAAGATGCAGTTACTATAAATCTTTTTATTTTTAACTAAAGTTGCAATAAAGTCCTCTTTTGTGAGTCTCTGATGTTCTAACACCTGCTTCCTACATTTACTAAGTTAAAATATTTATATAATTGAGATAATTTTGCTTTCTTCCATTAAAACAAAGTATATTCTAGTTGTTGCTTATATTTATTTCTTTACAGGTTGATGGGCTTAACTCCCTTCATTCTGTCAAATCCAGCACAAACCGATTCACTAAAACAAGTCAGGGAAGAAGTTGGAATACTGGTAATGGGTCCCCTGATGCAATCTGTTTCTCTGTGGACAAACCTGGTGTAGTTGTTGTAGGGTTTTCTGTTTATGGAGGAGGAGGAATTCATGAATATGAGCTGGAGGTGTTAGTTGATGATGTAAGTATTGCACTTTACCATCTATTATTTTTGTTTGGATTTTTTTTTAAAGTAGGACATGTATATTTTTACTCTCCAAGATATCAGTGCACCAATACAGTATGTTACAACTTAATATTAGTATGAATATTAGTAGCATTATTCCAAATAAAATCTTAAAATTCTTTGGATTTAATAAATACAATTATAGCACTAAAACATGGAAAGAGAGAAGCTGTGGTAAAGGGAGGTCATATCCTTTCAGCTGAGTTTTATCAGTATATATATATATATATATATATTGTTTCCCACCCTGAGGGGTGGGAATGGCAGCCTATTCGGGGAGGGGAAGTGTGGCGGAGGGAAATCTGAAACAGAATCGTAGTGAGAGTAAAGTTGTTTCCCTTCCTCCTTGCAAATGTGCTCCTTTAACTATGAGTAAAGCAGCAGTTGGCTTCTGAAAGCTGTCCTCCATCTTCCCCTGCTTTCTCAATTAACCCTAATAGAGCCATACTTGGAAGACGCTCAGATGTGCACAATTGTGGGTCAGATATTCCCTGAGTGTGAGAGGATGGTTTTTTTTTTTTTTATTACAATGATGCACTGGGACTCCGGAGTTTTGTGTTAATTCCCATCTGTGACATAGACTTCCTTTGTGACCTTTGGAAGTCACTTACAGCTTTATCCAAAGCCCACTGAAATAAATGGAAGCCCTACTATATATTTCAATAGGCTTTGGATCAGGCCCTTAATCTCTCTGTGCCTCAGATCACCATCTATATAATGAGGGGTAATATTTCCTTTCATCCTTTGGTTTAGATTCTTAGATGTTCAGGACAGGGCTTGCCTCTTACCATGTGTTTGTACTAGCTCCTTGCAGAATGGGTCCCTGATATGTTATGGCCTCGAGGCCTTACTGTACTACAAAAAATTAATCAGTAAATCACCCCAAATTTTTGTTCTTTGCTTTTGTGGCACTCATCTCAGATGCAAAAGCACATGTATTCTGGCCTCTGAATCTGTCCATAGATAATCAGTTCCTACTCCATATGGCATGTAGCCTTCTGGTGATGAGAAAAGGGAGGAAAACACCTAGGAGAGTTTGGGGTTCTGTAGGACAGGAGAAACCAGAGGGAACCCCCAGAAGAAGAGAAACAAAATAATGGGGGATGGGGATAGAGGAGGAAATCTTTTTGAAAGCAACATATACAGAAAAGAAAAAACGAAGGAGGAGATAAAATTGCATAGACAGAAAATTGACCAAAAAAAAGGCAAACAATATACGAGAGTTTGGTCTGGGGTGCAACATGCTACGGAGGGCTCACCTACCAATCTATCATAGAAAATGCTCATACCAAAAAGAAAATCCATAGACTACAGCCAGAGGTAATTCAAAATGCTGCTATGCAGAAATCTGTTTGCAACTGGAATTAAGTCCTTTGCTCCCAAGACAACATATTGTGCAGAAGTATCGTGGCAATACCTTCATTCTAGTGAAGACAGAAGGTGTGATTTGGTGCACCTGTAGTCCTAGTTGTTCACTTTTGGGCACAGAGCTTGGGTTCTGAATGGTAGGAGCATGCAGTTGTGGGAAAATAAATTCTCTGTTTTAGAAGTCACTTTTTATAAGGAGAGCCATAGGTTACATCTACTTTACAAACTGCAGCGGTACAACTGTGGAACTGCAGCAGCACTGTGGTGTATACACTTGCTACAGTGACAGAAGGTTTTTCTGTCGCAGAGGATGTGACATTTTTCATAGCCCTAAGTGACGTAGCTAGGTTGCCCTAAGTTTTTAGCGTAAATGAGCTCTTATTTATTTGCTGAAGGGTTTTTAGCTCTTTAAAAACAGTGGTATTTTTGGTACACAAAGTTACTATGTCAGAGCTCTGAAAGTATAATTATTAGAATAAGTGCATAATCTGAATAGATTGTTACATTTTATACAAATTAAAAATTGATTTTATATTTCCTCAAACTAGAGTGATCATGCTGGAGATTCAACTCATTCCCATAGATGGACATCCTTAGAGTTAGTAAAAGGAACATACACCACAGATGATTCCCCCAGCGACATATCTGAAATTAGACTTGACAAAGTTGTGCCTCTGAAGGTAAATAAAAGGAAAAGCTGTGTAATTCCCCATTTATTGTCAGTAAATGCTGGATTTTTATTCTAAAAATTAAATATTAGAGTTAAATTGGTGTTGAAAAATAGCTGTGGTTCTGTTTCTTATATAGATGTGAAAAGTACATACTTCATTTAAATTTATATTGTTTTGTTGAGAAATAAAAAAACACAACATATCTAGAAAAAGCTGTCATTTCATTAGCTACCCAATAAGTGTCAAGTTCAAATTCTAAAATGAATGAAATCTTATTTTTGAGTGTCAGTGTTCAATAGAATGTAACTTGTGCACTAATTAAAATAGTTTTAGATATATACTGGCAGCTAATTTTCTGGAGTTTCTAGTCAATGGGGTATGTTATCTTTTAGTTATTTTTAAAGAAACCAGAAATAATACAGTTTACGTCACTGTGAACAAAACTTTGAGGGCAGACAAGTTCTGACTTTTACTAGATGCCACACTTTTTTCCACTTAATTTTATTTTTAGAGTATTCCCTTAAGTTGAAAGTTAGTGTGTATAAAATATTTTTCGACCGTGTACTGCTTTTATATAATTGAATAAAATTATATTAAGTAGAAAATGTGCTTTCAACATGAATACTACAAACTATTATGAAACAAATTTTGTGTACCAGTCTAATATTGTATGCTGTTTCTGGCTTTTGTTTTGAAGGAAAATGTGAAATATGCAGTCCGTCTGAGGAACTATGGAAGCCGCACTGCCAATGGAGATGGGGGAATGACCACAGTCCAGTGTCCAGATGGTGTGACATTTACGTTCAGTACATGTAGCCTGAGCAGTAATGGCACAAACCAGACACGAGGACAGATTCCACAGATTCTTTATTACAGGTCTGTGAGCTCTCATGCTTGATTAAAACATTTTTTTTCATAAAAACTTAACATAAATCCATTTATGAGAATTCACAGGAACTAACAAATCTAAGTTAATTTTGTAGAGATAGCAGCTTTGGTTAGAACAATATCTCGCTCTTCCAACTCAATTATGTTGTTTTTAGCTTTTGTTTTATTGAAAACAGCTGGCTTTCTGGATCATAATCTGTCCCTCTCATCCAGGACATTTGGGTTGTTCCTCTCTGCCGTCAAATCTTGGAGGCAGTTTAGACTTGTCCATGAGGCTCTGGTGCAAGGCTACACTTCTGCCCTCATTTCAGATTCTGTGCTCCAGTCTGACAAACATTGTGGTAACTTAGCTCTCCTGCTTTGTCTATTGTTATCCTGGCTTTTAAAGCCAGATTTTGGAGCATCAGTAAGTGGCATTTGTTCTTCCCTCTATCTTTCATGCAGGGTACAACATTTTGAGGGGGATCATTCCTGGAATGGGATCACCCCCTGAGAACTATTCCTCTATCCCGTATTCTCCCCTCCCCTCAAAGAATCAGATTGCATAGTGAAATGAGTCTGTTGTTTATAGAACTTCTGCCTCATTTGCTTTAGAAGTTGAAAGGTGTGTTGAGAATGAGGCAGGGGACTACAGGAAGAGAAAGTGGTTAAGTCCATTGAATGCCACCCAAGAGAAGGCTCTGCCACAGACTTCTGTGTAATACTGGGAGAGTTACTTAAATTAAATTTTTTGCAGGTGGCCACTAACTCTGTTTCTCATTTTCTGGGTGGCCGACTTCAGACACCTAGGGCCTGATTTTGACAACATCTCAATATAGGAATTGTTGTCATTCCCTCTGTGATAAAGAAGTTCTCTGCATCAGAATCAGGAATCCTGTGAGATAGTTGACGGGTCTGCACTTTCAGGGAGTAAAGGGAGAAGCTGAGGATAAGAACAGTGTATCAAAGCTAAATAATTTTTTTCTGTTATTGTTCACCACAGAGTATGCTGGGGAGATACCTAGTCTAGACATGTTTTCTTATCAATTAATAAAAATGAGACATTGTCAAAAATCAAAATGGTAGAAGAGGTGGTACTGGAACAAACTGATAAATAAAATAGCAACAAGTCTCCAGGAACAGATGTTTATCCAAGATTTTGAAGGATCTGAGAATGAAGAAACTAAGCTGCTAACAAAATGATATAGTTGTATTAAAAATCAGCTACTACACTGAGAGATTGGAGGGTAGTAAATGTATCTAATTTTTAAATGGCAGTAAGTGATGTTACATAAGAATGTCCATACTGTAGGGTTACCATATTTAAAAAATAAAAAAAGAGGACACTCCATGGGGCCCTGGCCCCGCCGCTTTCCCATCCCCGGCCCCGCCCCAACTCTGCCCCTTCCCTGCCCCAACTCTGCCCATTCCCCGCCCCTTCCCCAAAGTCCCCACCCTAACTCCCCCTCCTCCCTCCCAGCCACACGGAAAGGGCTGCCCAAGCGCTACCGGCTTCACGGTTTGCCAGGCAGCCTCCAGACCCTGCGCCCCTGGCCGGCGCTTCCCCAGCGCAGCTGGAGCCTGGGAGGGGAAGCGCCCAGCCGGGGGCTCAGGGTCTGGAGGCTGCCCCGCAAACCGTGAAGCCGATAGCGCTCAGGCTTCGGACAGCCCCCATGCCTCCGGACCCTGCACCCCCGGCCGGGCACTTCCCCTCCCGGGCTCCAGCTGCTCTGCTTCTCCCCTGACTCTTCGGCTCTGTTTAAGAGCCGAGCTGCCCGAGCGCTACCGGCTTCGGGCAGCCCCCATGCCTC